GAACTATTTATAATAGTGAAAGCTTTCAAACTCATTGAAATAAAATCTTATAAAAGAGAAAATAGTTGAAAAGAGACATCAATATTCTCTGATAGTCAAGCTGCTTTAAAAAAACTTAGAAATAGTCAGATTCATAATGATCAAATGAATCTTGAACTGATTTTAAACTCTGTTTTGAAAATTTAAAAGAAAAGAACATCAAAACTGATAATTCATCTGCATTGAGTTCCTGCTCATATGAATATTCATAGCAATGAATTGACTGATTCAGCTGTAAAAAAGGGTTCAGAATTAAGCAGATCTATTCAAAATACAGTGTTCTGATCTTTTATAAAGAGAAAGATAAAAGAATCTTATTTAAATAAGTGAAATAAAAGCTAGCAGAAACAAAAGAAGAGTATACATTATTCAAGATTTGAGACAAAATCAAAGTGGAAATCTTGTTCAATTAAATGTAAAAAGAAAATATTCTCATTTATAATTCAGCTGAAACTAGAACATGATTATTTCAAATTCTATATACAAAGATTTGATAATAGATTTGATTCAAGAGAGTGCTCATTCTGCAATATAAATGAAAGTCCTGAGCATATTATAATGCATTATGCATTATACAATAGTCTCAGAGTCAGATTAAAGAAGAAGTATGATTTAAATCAATTAAATGTGGTTCGGAAGAACGTACGACCGGCTGATAATAACGCGGCCGCTTCCGAACACGCTTCTGAACATGCTTACGAATGTAAAGAGGCTCTAGCGGCCACTAGTTAATTTAGATAATGTATATAAGAAGCTGGCGTATGCCTGTAATTGTACGCTGGCTCAAGCAACCTTTGAATCACATCTGATAGTATGTCTAAAAACTGGTGAGAAGCGCAGGCTTCTCCAGGGCGTGATAATTCCATCTATGAAGTGATTCATAGTTATCATGCCAGTGTGGTTCTAAAAATGCCTCAAAAGATAGTGTATAAAGAGCAGTGAGTAAAAGAGTATCTGATTGATACTGCTTCACTTGTTGAGAGAAAACTCCACACCCAGGTGAATGCTATGTATTGTATGTGAATGAATGAGGTGTGAGAAAGAAGATGCAAGTAATGAATCAGATTTAAAGAAGATCACTCTCTATCTGAAAGAATAAAAGAGAAGGTAATTATCATCAGAGTTGTATAATGATAACAGAAATCATATAATGATATAGTGATATAACAATATAGTAATATAATAATATAGTGATATAATAATAGATATTGTATAATTAACAAGAAATCACTGAAATGAATATCTTCTCTAGCTAATACAAACACTCTTCTCTGCTATCTGAACTGAAAGATATGCAGAATCTCTCAGAGAATTTACTCAAAGTAGTAAGAAAAGTAATTGAAATCACTGAACTGAAATTGAAGCTCTGTACATGTACAAGAATTCTAAATGAAATCAAGGTCTTGTATACATAGTAGCAGACTGAGATGAAAGCTAAATAACAATTGACATTCACTGCAGATTAAGTATTCACTATGAAGAGCTTTATCAACACAATCACCATCATTAATAAGAATAGAGAAAACCAGGTCTTAGACCTGTAGTAAGAGATTGAATATTTACAGATAACTACACTGAATCTGAAGATTTTATCATAATTATTCACAATCTCTTTAGAAGTGTACACATCATCAGAGATCACTGCATAGAATGAGAATTCAAACATGAAATACATCAAGCTAAGAGATCTGTCAGAGCTATTAAGCTTCAATAACAACTGAAAAAATAATGCTGTAATCAGCTGACTAAGTCAGATATGATTATATTATCAGATTGAATACAAACTTACAGATAGATAGTTAACAGAATTTCAACAAGTCTTAAGATCTGCTGTGTTTTTACATGAAAAAGCAAAGTCATTATAAATAACTGATGAAAAGATGAATCTCACAGATCTGAAACAATATTCATTCTCATGAATATGAAATAAGTTTTTCAAATGAATCTTGTACAACTTTGAGATAGTAAATATATAAGATAAGTATTATAAATACTTCACTAAGTGTAGATAAGTGAGTAATCTTACATCATACTTTACACACTTCAGTTTACACTATCTTATATTGAATAAAGAGCTTTCAACATCTTTCTGTTTATAGATCTTTATTCATGATTTTACATCTGAGTTGAGAGCAGAATAAAAATGCTTAACCTTATAATCAGACATGATGAAAGAAGCATATAATATTCTCATTATATGAGAACAAGTGAGTTAATTATGACAGAAAATACTGCAATTGAGTATGTCTTAGCAGAGAATGAGTAATCAGACTTCTATAACACAAGTCACACACTTAGATACAATGAATCTAGATTTGAATGTTATTGCTAAAGCACTGAATTCTCTGAAAAAGAGATTCTCTGAGTGAAAATCTTGATATTATAAGTATTGAGCTTGCTTCAACTGCAGATATTAAATTTATAATATAAAAGACTGCACATAGTATGCACAGTTAAGAGAAGTAAGAGAGTTAAAAAACTAGCAGAATTAGTGAGCTCAGAGACACTCACTGATATTCTATAAAAAGTCTTTAAAGTGAAAGAGATGCTCATGTTAGATGACTCTCTGAATTCTGTTAATATCAAGAGAAAGTAGGCTTCTGAATGAGATGTGAGTGAGAATGAAGTAAATACTCATCTCAATGTCTTGAGACCTGAAATGTTAATATATAAAGAACACTTGAATAAGAATTGAGAGATGACTGTAAAAGTGTTAACAGATACAGAAGTTTCTATACAATATATTAATAATTATATAATCTAAAGACTGAAAGAAGTTCACTGAGTGAACAATCTCTGATGTATAAAAATATCTGATAACTGATATTTAATATTATCTGTAAGAGTAAGAGTTCTCTTGCACTTTGAAAAATAATCTTACTATATTTGAGTATGAGAGCTGCAGAACATGAAATACAACCTTATTCTTAAACTTAATTGATTTCAAAGATTCAATTCACAGATTCAATGATGTATGTATTATATACAGTTAATTAATAAGAAGAAAACAGTTCATACAATTCTATCAACTGATATGAGAAGAACATTTCATGTCTCTGATATAGATAGATTAAATCTGCTTACACATTAATAAGTAAAGAGAATAATTTATAAGATCTTATCTGAAAGTATTCTGTATATCATACAGAATCTGAAAGTGAAGAAAATCAAGATAAAGAATATACAGAAGAACAAGCATATGAAGAAGCTTCTGAAGAAGTATGAAAAGATCTTTTAAACAGATCTTTCACTGGAATTGCTGCTGAAACAAGGATTTGTACATGAGATTGACACAGAGAATGTGAAACCAGTCAATCAGAATGTATACTCTCTGTCATAAATGCATCTTAAAGAACAGAAGTGTCAGATCACAGACCTTCTAGAACATGATCTCATATAATTCTCATCAAGTATGTGAGGCTTCTCAGTTCTATTCATGAAAAAGGCAGATGAGAAGTGATGAATGTGTATCAATTATCAAGCACTTAACAAGCTTATGATCAAGAATGAATATTCACTATCACAGATTCAATAATAGTTGAATATGATTGAAAACATCTGATATCTATCAAAGATTAATCTTCTCTCAGAATACTGACAGATCTGTGTAGATAAACTGTCAGTTTCACAAACTGTATTTAATATATAATGAGAAAAGTTTGAATTTCTGATAATATCATTTAATCTGATAAATGCACTTATTATCTTTCAAATAATGATGAATACAATTCTTCATAAACAGAATAAAATCTCATATCTTATATATCTCAATGATATTCTAGTCTTTTCAAACTTATATAATGAATATCTGAAGCATCTTAATGAAGTGTTTATAACTCTGACAGAGTATAAGCTCTATATTAAATCAACAAAGTGTGTGTTTGAAACAGAAGAGTTAAAGTTCATAGAATATGTAGTAAGTTATGACTGTATATATCTTATTTCAGAGAAATTGAATGTTATAGCAAATTGATCACAGCTAAGAAATGTATATTATATATAACAGTTTCTTAAGTTAATCTTATATTATCACAGATTTATCAAGAATTTCATATAAATATCTGTATCACTCTCAGATCTCTTAAGAGAAATAGATACAAATCTGTGAAAGAAGAAGTTTTATTCAATTATCTGAAATACTACATATGAAGAGGCTTTTCTCACACTGAGAGAATGTATAATAACATTCTCAGTGCTTATTCAATCAGATTGTGATAAATCTTTCTACATTGAGACAGATACATTTAAATGAGCTATCAGAGACACTCTTCTACAGATGAGTAAGAACAGTAAGCTGCACTCAGTGACATATAATAATAGAAAACTATCAGATGCTGAGCTCAATTACTCAGTGTATGAAAAGGAATTACTAGTAATCAAGCATATACTGATATTATAAGATAGATATATTAATAACAGATATATAATAACAGTAATCACAGATTATGAAAGTCTTATCTATCTATAATTAATGATAAAATCTTTCAAACACTTAGTACATTGAATCTCAGAGTTTTTAAGTATATAATCTTCATATCAAATACTGAAAGAAATTGAATACTGTGATATCTAATATAATTAGTCACAGATCTGATTTCATGAGTAAGAGTTCTGTGAATCAGATATAAGAGAAGTTCATGTTAAACACACTGAGAAAGTATAAGAAATCAGAATGAGTGAATACAATAATCTCTCACTTAAAGAATGATAAGATGTCAGATGATAAGCATCTTATAAAAGTAGTAGAAGAGATACTTCTGAACTTTAAGCTGAGAAAATTGAAAAATAATATTGTACTTTACTGTGATCTAGAATATGTGAAAGCTCTCTATCTAGAATATTTATTTAAACATAACTTAGTAACTCACATGTACAAGGAATTCAGTCCCTTAGAAAGCTCTGAACTTATAAGTGTACTTGAATCAAGAGTATACTGATCAAGTATAACTGAGAACATTTAGACATATACTCACAAGTGTCTGAATTGCCAGGTTGTAAAAGAATCTAAGAATGGATTAGAACACAAGAAAGTGTAATATTAGATAAAGTGTATAATACAATCATTCAAATAATGAGAGATGAATCTTATAGATATATTATCACAAATATCAAATGAAAATCAATGAATAATTACTGTTATTGATTACACTACTGACTGATCAGTTGTGAAAGCAGTTTCAGAGATAATAGAGAAGGTGATGACAAAGTTTCTATATAATGAGATCTATGTCAACTATGAAATATCATATGAGATTCTAACTGATAACAGTGCAAACCTTGTGAGAGAAGTGATAAGACATTTTATAAGCCAGTTACAGATAAGACATTATAGAACAATGCTATATCATTCACAGATGAACAGAAAGATGAAATACTTGAATGAAATCTTGAATAATATACTGATGAAATATCTAGTAAGCAAGCCTATGAGACTATGCAATGAATATCTCAGACAGATGCTATTAGTCATGTGAATTCAACAGTATGCAGTCTTCAAGTGTTCATTATTCTATCTGTTGTATGAATTGCATCCGCGCATTCTGAAGAATGCTTCAGAAAAGGTGAGAAAGAGAACAGCAGTTATAAATACAGTAGAAACAGTGGTTGCAGATGCATCAGTTGCAGATACAGCAGAAACAGCAGTTACAGACACAACAGTTGCAGACATAGAACTAAGATTGAAAGAGATCAGCCACACACATGTAAAAGCTAATAAGTTACTTCTGAACTGAGCAATTCAATTGAAAAGAATATAAGACTTACTAGTTAAGAAATCAAGTCTTAAGATGAGAATGTAAGTTCTCATATACAATGAGAGTTCTGAGAAGTTTCAATCTAGATAATTTAAGTTATATAAAATACTCAAATCACATTCTCTGAGAATATACACATTGAAAGAACCAGAGGAACAGATCTTACACAACTTAATAAATAATTCATAACTTATAAAAGTAAAGATATAAGATCTAAGTAGATTATAATCATCTACAGCACTATCATCAGTGTTGAAAAAGAAGAGACTTATAATTGAAAAGTCTTACAAAGTAAGAGAAATCATAGATACTTACAAATCAGATAATCTCACTTATTCTAATCTTTTCATAATTATAAGGAAAGAATGAGAAGTAATGAAGAAATCAGATGAATATCACACTTTAATAAGTGATGAGACTGTAGTCAGTTGTATAATAATATACTGCAGACAGTAGATGCAATATGATAAAGAGCAGTTTTAAAGTAGCAGACTTGTATATAAGTTAGATTACAGAAGAAAAAGAGATTCAGAGTTAAATTTAACTGTTTACATTAATTTAATTACAGAGATCACAGAGAATGAATTATCTGAAATATTCACAGATATGTGAGATTAAGTTATCTTAATCTCTGAGAATGCTCAGAGATCAGATGAGATTAGTTTTAATAAGCTGTTTACTGTAGTAATCTGAGTGAGTGAAGAGAGACAGTATAATGTATAAGACAGAATTATAAAAGATGAAAGCTGCTGAATCTAGTCACTGAACACTGTATTATATAGAGATTGTATAAGAGTAGTGACTAGCAGACAAAGAAAAAGTGTAGAAAAAAAGAAGAAATAATAAATTGATTATCAACTGTAAAAGTCAGCTGAAAAAGATAAATGTTATTATATATATCTTATTCATTTTTTATATTATATATTTAATCTATTTTCAACATCACATCATCTGAAAAATATTAAAAATAAAGAAAATCTCAAAACTCAAGATCTGTAAGAGATTCAAGAGTTGTAAGCTACTCTTGTAATAATACTGTATATATCTCTGATTTCTCTACTGCTTTGTATATAACATTAATGTCATTTATAGCAAGATTGACTGAAATGTCAATATAGAAATGTGTATATATATATGTAGAAAAATTGAAGAAGAGCATGAAACCTGCAGAATCAGAAGTCAAGATAGAGAAAGCAGAGATAGAAGAAATGAAAGAAGAAGAAGATACAGAATTAAACAAATAACAGCAGAAGTCATCTGAGACTGAATACTTATAACTCAGTGTATACACAATCTTTCTTACAGAGAAGAGAGAGAAAGTGATGAGAAAAGCTTAAGAGTAGAAGAGAGTAGTCTCAGCAGTGTAATCATCTTTGATTAGAATGATCTCTGATACTGAAGCAACTAAGAACTCTTATTAGTGTATGAAAACTGTAAAATCAGAGATGAGAACAGTTACTGAATAAACATCTGCTGATCTTAGAGTTGTACACATAATTACAACATGTATAAGACTTCTCAGAAAGAGAGAGAGAGACATGAGAGAATACAGAAAGTAGAACACAGTATATAAACAGCTCATTTTCATAATAACATTTCAGACAGAGTGTATAAGTCTCATGCTTACAGATGTAAAAGTGTATGATATCTATGTTTCTGTTTCTAAAAACACAGATATTCTTCATCTGCACTATGAAGTTAAAAGATAAATATCAGAGAATAGATTAATATAGATTGATTATTCTGAAGTTATTCATCAGAGTGAATATACTTATAATATTGAATTTAACAGTTATAAAAAGTTTCTTAATGTCTGTGAATATTATAACTTCATATATAATAAAACTCATAATGATTTCCTCTAAGAACAGGAAAATCAGTATTAGAAAGAGAAGATGATAAAAGAAAGACTTACAATCTTAACACTGTTAAAAGAGAAGATGATTCTTCAGTATAAATAAGTAATTATCTCATTATAAATATTTAAAATAAATATAATAATCAGTGTTCACAGCTGAGCTTCAGATAGTTATGTTATATACAGTCTTTATATAATAAATTATTCTAGAGATTGATAAGAAGGGCAGAAGTGTACACACTGAGAAATGTAATTTATTAAGTCTATGCAATATCTTCTTGAAACAGAAAGAGCTGATAATGAAAGCAGAGATAGCAGAATCAGAAGAAGCAGAAGTAGTAAGAGTGAGAGTTATAAGAACAGAGATAGCAGAAGCAGGAGAATCAGATACAGAGATAGATGTAGAAGATTGAGAAGAAGTAGCAGAGAAAGAAACAGAGAGAGCAGAGAGAGACACAGAAGATCTGATTATATATAATATAGATAATTTCTTCATTATCATATTCTTCAAGTTCTCAATCAATGATTCAATATTAAGATTATAATTATCAGTGAATACAGATCTGTCAACATATAAAGATTCTATATAAATTAAAAATAAATATATCAGCATCTACAGTCATGTAAAACAATTAAAAAATATGATTAGAAAAACATAATCAGATACCTGCTGAGAAAAAGAAGATTGAGTATATAAGAAGATGAAGAAGATATGCTATTCATAGTAGTATATTCTGACAATTATTAGAAGATAAACAAGTTCTGATCATATTTCACAATGCATTACACTTACTGCTAATGAACTGTCTGATATAAGCACTATAATAATACTTATTATGAAAACAGAGAGTCATTGTCAGAAATATGTGTAATGTAATAGATAAATAGATAGAAAGAGTTGAATAGAAGAAGAAGTAGAAATCTGAGATAAGATGATAATATTTAAGAATGATGATGATGAAGAAGATGATTGAAGAATGAAAAAAGTTAGTAAATAAGTAATATAATATAGTGAAAGTTTCTTTATGAGAGTGTATACAGAACACTAGCTGAATCAGAGATAGGCTACACTATTACAAACACTAGTGACGCACTAATTCACATGAAGCTAGAGTGTACATCATGGTCATGTGAGTGTGACTGAATCTGATGAGAGAGGATGTGATTCAGAAAAATGTACAACCAGCTGATAATAACACAGCTGCTTTCAAACACGCTTCTGAACACGCTTACAAATATAAAGAGGCCCTAGCGGCCACTAGTTAATTTAGATAACGTATATAAGAAGCCGGCGTACGCCTGTAATTGTACGCTGGCTCAAGCAACCTTTGAATCATATAAATATGAGGTTCTTATTCTCAACTGAGACAGGAATTAAATACTTAATAGACTTTCTATCAGAAACTCAAGCAGCTATAAGAAAATGACTGAATTCAGAAGTATCTGAATATGAAGAGGCAGAAATTGATTAGATATAGTCTGTTAAAACAGCTATACACTATCTTTTAATAATTTTATTTTGTTATAGTCTCTCTTTACTGTACTTGTTTCTTTCTGTTCTTTTCTATCTATCTATTAAATGTGTTTATCTTTAAGACTATGTTCTCTTTTCCTTTGTCATGATATTTTCAAATGATTTCAAAGTATCATAAGGTGTTGAAATACTGTAATTTGTAAACAGTTTTTGTATTCTGAGCTGGAATTTTCTAATTTTGCATATTTGAAATTGATAAATGTATAATAGTTGACTCTATAGATATAGGAAACACTCTGAGAACTAAAGATTCTCAGGTAGATATCATAGTCTCTGACTGCATACATCTATAATTGAAGAAGAATAATAATAATAATAAGATTTTGATGTCAAAGTCAGAGATGAATATTATGAGAGAAATATTTCTCTATTAAACACTCTATAATTAATCTAATACTTTTTACTGTGTAGTAGTATCTCTGAACATAACATCAAGATACTTAATAATATTATCAAAGATATGTGACACTGATTCACATATCTTTATTTATAAGTGAAACTTTTACTTCATGTGATCTCTTAATTGACTGCTGATATACTAACTCTGATTAATTAATAAATCAATGACATCTCTGTCTACACTTAGTTTTATAAGCATGTTCAATCTTCATAACAGATAGAGAGTGAGATTAGAAGTATTAAAGTATGCAGAGATATCTAGATATTTCTTCAGTGTCTGTATTGTATTTATCTCTGATTCAGTCAGTGTTAAAATCATCTGCACAGAGATTTCTTATTGAGTTAATCATTGAATTTCTTTATACTGATATTATTAATTTGCATGTATATCAGCTATCTACTACTGCTGTAATTTCAACATTGTTTAAAGTCACTGCAGCACTATATTCATACTTACATTCAAGAATTCTCTTATATTATCAGTAGATATTGTTATATCATTCATCAGATGTACAGTATCTATTTCTGTATTTAAGAATTCTTCAGAATCAGATGAAGTATATTCATATAAATATTTCATATATCTAGAGTGTTAGAACTCTCAGATCTTTCACTGATATTCTCTTTATAAGATTTTATTACAGAGGCAGAGTAACTAATAAGTAAGCTTCTATCTATCTAGCAGAGACTCAGTATTTACTTAGTTAGTCATTTCTTCTTATTCTTAAATATTATTACACATTTCAAATATCTCTCTTTAATAAATAATCATTTCTAATAAGAAGATGAGAAACATTTTTTAAGTATAATAAGTCTATACTGAAAAGATCAGTATTGAATATAGAACTTATATAATAAAATAGAAAATATTAGAGAAGAAAGAGAAAAGATACAAGAATCTCAATAAGAGTGAATATTTATATATATATAAGATAAAGCTCTGAGACAGAAGAATAAGAGCTCTGACAGAGATTTCAGATATACAAGATAAAGCTCTGAAATGAAAGAATAAGAACTCTGACAGAGGTTTCAGATATACAAGATGAAATTCATGAAGTATATACTCTCAGTGAAGTATAACAGAATAATCTATTAATTAAGCACAGCCTGCTATAAAATAAGATTAAATGTGAAATTTATAATTCTGTTAATAGACTGACTGTGTGACCGTGTCTGAGACCAGAATCAGAATATTTAATAGTCTCATTATCAATTTAACTGATCTCATTACACTGTTTTAACATTAGATAGTAGTCTCATACTGTTTCAGTGAGACTTACTGTCTACTCTTGTCACATTTTCCAAATGAGACCATGATTTTCACTTCTCAATTTAAATTATTTTTATTGCTTTAAATGACTTTAAATCTCATTTAAGCATTATCAAAAAGTGTTACTTTTTAAAAAATTAAAAATAGTCTAAAAAAAACCTTAAAATTTCTAAAAATAGTAACTTTATGCTAAGAATGAAACTAAATGAGATCAAATAAGATCACTTTCTTATTTTTTCTAAGTTATGATCTCATTTTGAGATCTGATATATAGTTACTTTGCATGTTTTTTTAATGATTAGTCTCAGCAGAATTCACATCAAGAAATGTATGAGATCAGATTAAATGAGATCAAACATGAAATTTATAATCTCAGCAGTCAGTCTATCTGTTAATCAGTTTAATAACAGCAGTAAATTATTTATAAAGAGAGAGATTTTATTTAATAATTATAATAAATTTTTTTTTCTCTTTTTTCTTTATTTTCACTTTCATTTTTTTCTTTATTTTTATCTCTTTTTTTATTTTTATTTTTATTTTTATCCTTAATAGTGTATGCAATTTTCTGCTTAATAGAATAGTTTAATCAGTTTAATAACAGTAGTAAATTATTTATAAAGAGAGAGATTTTATTTAATAATTATAATAAATTTTTTTTTCTTCTTCTTTTTCTTTTTCTCTCTTTTTTTCATTTTCATTTTCATTTTTTTTCTCTATTTTTATTTTTATTTTTATCTTTATTTTTAATGCTGTATGCAATTTTCTGCTTAATAAAATAGTTTAAATTATACCTCAGTGACTGAATGGTTACATGCGGCCATCTGATAGTGTCTTGGCATGGAAAACCAAGATGTGCGGGTTGAA